TCTAATGCTTTTCCTACAAGTTTCTCAGAAAGACTACTTTTAACATGGCAGATAAAAGTGTTTACCAAATACTGACCTTTCCTATAAGAGCTTGTAATTATTGTAGATTAAATGGAAAACCAATTCAAAACAAAAAGAACAAAACAAAAGGCATCACAAAGAGTAGCACACCGTACCATACATTATTTCATTTGAGCCATGGAACATTGTTGGGATTATAATCACAACTTGTACAACTTTAAGTAACTAACTTTTTTTGTTTGGTTCAATTTTATTTTTTATTGAATTTTTGTGCAATTCCTACAAAATCTTAATCATCTATATACCTGCTCCCCCACCCTCACCCCCCATAGTACTCACCCACCGGATTTCATGCATTCTATCATATATGTTAAGGCCCATCACTTTGTGTACCCAGATATTCCTCAGAGTAAGTTCATCCACTGCAGTCTAGTTAGTCTATCTAGAGTCTCTCCCTTAAAGTGGATCTACTCTTTTTTCTTTAACTCTCTCTCACTCAGCAGTAATCAGCCATCAATAGTTCTTTGGCTAAGGTTAGGGCTTGCACACAGAAAACCAAAACTGGCCAAAGTTTAGCGAATAAGAGACTGCAGAGGGCGTGTCCCTGGATGGGACTCCTATATTAAACCTCACCAACTCAAGGTTCGGGGACCACTGCAGAGCAAGGGGGGGAAGATTCTAAGAGCCAGGGGTGATACCTGAACATAAGTAAACAGAGTCTTCCAGGCCTCTGGGATCTTTCTCATATGAACATACAGCAATGGTGTTGGCATGCACAAGACCCATGCAAACTCCATCAGACAAAAACCCAGCGTAAGTATGTAACTTAAAGCAACCTGGTTGCTAAGTGGTCAAGGCAGGTATCCAAACAGATCTGGTATTCAAGGTCCACTCATTCCATTCAATCATGAACTATACTACTCACTTTTTATGCTCCCAAACTATGAGCTGCCTTACATCAGATTAAGTTCAATTTACTCTTTGGTAACTTGCCTCCATTGTTTCTTACAGCTTCACTTCTCTACTACCCTTCTCACACACTGGGTTCTGGTAGGCTCTCGCCTCCAAAATCACCCCTTTGTCTTGATCATCCAAGGCTTTCCTGATCCCTCTGATCCTCACTTGAAATTTATGTGGTACCTCTTCCAAAAAGATATCTTCTACATCCATTTCAATAGGATTTAGCTTTCTGTTTGGATCCACGATGAGTTTTCCTTTCTCCTAGAGCTTTTTCTGTTTGATCATTAAATCTTATTGAGACTTGTATATTCTAGTTTATTTAAAACAGTGCTATATTTCAAATGAAATTAGAAGCTTCCTTGAATCTAGGAGCTGTGATTTCTCTATGAGACCATTTAGTGCTAGCTATGAATAGAAGTCAGTTAGTGATTCAGTGAGTACTTATGTATGCATGCACACATAAGAAACAATTAAGTTAACACCATAGCATTCATCATCTGTTTATTCTTGTATTGATCTTCTAAAAGGGAGTTTTAAGTGTATTATATGAGTCATCACACCCTCTATGTAATTTTTTTACTTTAATAATGGTCAGTCTTTTACTATAGAAATTGCAAATTTAAAAGTTCTATTATTTTTCTTTTATGGAATTTCCATGAATAAGACATTGCCTCTTTTTATTTTTATTTTTTTTACTTTTTCCCCAGACACATATAACATATAAACTTAGAGGGTGGTAGCGTATCTGCCAAGTATCCATAGGTGTTAGGTTTGATTCCTTCTCCCAAGAAAAACAAACAACATTAATGATGACAATAGAAAACAGACTATTAAAATGATTTCTAATTCTTTTTTTTTACAAATGTTTTACTTATTATTTTTATTTTATGTGTATGTGTGTATTGCCTGAATGTAGGTGAGTGCACCCATGTAGTGCAATGCCCACGGAGGACAGAAGAGGCTGTTAGATTCTCTGGAACTGGAGTTACGGACAGTTGTTAGCTGCCATGTGGGTGCGGGGATTCGAACCCAGGTCTTCTGCAAGAACAGTCAGTGCTCTTAACCACTGAGCCATCTCTCCAGCCTGATTTCTAATTCTTAAATGCAGTCTTATATTTCAATTTTTTTTCAAATATATGCCTAAAGAAAGAAGAAAACTTTTCCTGGTTTCTATGAGTGACATTTCTGGAATTAACTTAATAGAAATTTGTTTTCTTTTTAGTTCATTTTCTTTAAACATTCTATGTCATGAAAACCTTTATTTAGGATCCTAAAGACAATACAAGAAAATAGCCAACAAAATCAAAAAGAAGATTTTTAAATAATCGCTTTTAAAATGTATACTTTAAAAGTTTATTAAATTATCCATCATTTGGTATAAATGCAGCATGTTTTGGAATTTTAATAAATGACCTTACCTCATACTACTATAAAATATCACATTTAAAAACATCAGGAATAAAGTTTCAAAGTTTACTAACTCCATGTACTGAGAACTTTTCCCACCAAAGTGATGAATAAGCAACACTTACGTTAGAGCTTATAGCCTGCAGGAAAGTTATGTTATCTGATTGTGGCAAAATTAAAGAATTTCATATTTATGTGGCTATGAAGATAATAAAGGAACAAGATGAAAACTAGAAACAATCAGATAGCATTGCTCTTTAGTAAATTTATGCCATTAACATTTTTCTTTTTTTACAATTCAATTAATATTTACTGAACCATTAACACTGTTATTTTATTTTATTTTTTAAATATTTAAAAAATTTTTTGTGTATTTTCTATTGAAGTTTTGTGTATTTCATATAAAATTTCTTAATAATCTTTATAGCCCTTCCCTATAGGCACCCTCCCATAGTTCACCCACTGGATTTCATGCATTCTGTCATTTATGGTAAGGCCTATCAAGTCAAGTTAGTGTACCCAGACATCCATCGGTGAAAGTTCATCCACTGGGGTTTATTCAGCCTATCTAGAGTCACTCCGTTGAAGAAGATCAGTTCTTCCTCACTCAGCAGTAGTCAGCTGCCCAATAGTTCTTTGACTAAGTTTTTCTTTAATATATTTTTTTTTAATTTTATGTGTATGAGTGTATTCCCTGCATGTATGTAAATGCACCCATGCCATGCAATAACCTGGAGGTCAGAGGAGGGTGTTGGATTCCCTGGAAGCAGAGTTATGGACGGTTGTTAACCACCATGTGGGTGCTGGGAACTGAACCTGGGTCCTTTGCAAGAGCAGCCAGTGCTCTTCATCACTGAGCCATCTTTCCTGTCCTCCATCAACATTTTTAGAAAAGCTAATGTAGAGTGAGAATGTAGCTCAGTTGATAAAGTGCTTTGCCTAGCACACACAAGGCTATAGGTATCCAGTAGCACATTAAAAAGAAAAAAAGCATGGTGGCACATAGCTATGATTCTAGCACTTGAGAGATGGGGCCATAAGGAGCAAAAGTTTAAGGTCATGCTCTGTTATCTAGGGAGTTCAAGGCCAGACTGCTCACCGAGACCCTGTCTCACAGACAGACAAGCTAATGTTAATTTCTTTTATCCTCACCAAAGCTACAGCTACCAAGAGCTTTAAAAGATTCTGATCCCAGCACTTGGGAAGCAGAGACAGGGGGATCTCTGTCAGATGGAGACCAGCCTGGTCTACATAGCAAGTTCTAAGCCAGCTGGGGCTACAGTGAGACCCTGTCTCAAAAAGAATAAAAAAAAAAGATTTGAAAATCAAACAAAATTTATTCTTGTTCTATTTTCAGTTTAGTTTTATTTGATGTTTCCATAGTACTCTATAAAACATAAAAATAATGCCAGGTGTTGTGATGTACACCTATAATCCTAGAAACTGAAGACTAAGGAGGAAGGCTGCAAGTTCCAAGTCAGCCTGCTCTGCAGACTCAGACCCTGACACATATATAAACAGAAACAACCCCAACTCCCCAACTTGTGTTTGAGCTATATATAATAAACATTATAAAAACAATCCATTATTAAATTTATATTATTTAATTTAAAGGTTTTAAATAACATTTTACAAATGGAAATGGTCGTTAAACTAGACGTTAACTTCGAGTTGAATCTCACTAACGGGAGTCAAGAAGCATAAACACAAGAAAAGCAGAAAGACTTTTCCATATACGTGAAGAGAGCAAATAGAAGCAGGTGACAATGTCATCTGTCACACTGAGAGAAAATTTGCTGTGTTGCTGTGTAAGTCAGAGAGAGGGTGTGGTTATCTCTCAGCAGGAATGTTAACAGACCATGTCCTGAAGGGAAAGGAATGATTTGACAGGGCATCTTCCAAGATAATAAAAAGGCTTTGCAAATCACAAAAGTGAAGCCAAATTGGGCTCAAATAAATACTCATCTTGGAAAAACCTCATGGCACATTAAGGGCTTGCAGGAAGAAAATTTGGCCATTTTTCTCTTTGCTTTATTCCCATTCTTGGGCCACATAACTGAATCTGTAGTGAACATGGCCTCAGGCTATTTCTTGCTGGTTAGTATGTCAGAAGTCATGTGTACTGAGAACTTTAAAATTCAGAAGACTAATATACATTCTTTCAGAGTTAGTGAGAGATAAAAATTATTAATAGCCAGGCATGGTGGCACACGCCTCTAGTCCTAGCACTTGGGAGGCAGAGGCAGGTGGATCTCTGTGAGTTCAAGGCCAGCCTGGTCTACATAGTGAGTTCTAGGACAGCTTAGGCTACAGTGAAACCCTGTCTCAAAAAGAACAAAAAAAGAAAAATTATTAAAGAGTTTAGAATCACTTAAATTTGAGATATATACTAAAATTTGAAGCCAGTTATTTGGCATAAAACTTAACTACCTGCCAGATTCTCTAAAGCAATGTTATTTCTAGAGAGAAACCAGAATGATATGGCATCATGCAGAACCAGGATCAATCACATGGCTCTGCACAAGAATCACAAACATTGCACAGCAAGATTTCAGAAGTCCTGATGAATGAATTTTCTGGGTGAAGGGCTTCCAGAACACTGCACACCATACCTTCTCTGCAAGAAGAGGGACATGGTGTCCAGTCACTGTATGGGGTCATGATGCAGTCTTTCCTACAAGGAAGCAGGCAAGGCCTCACTGTTTCAGGCCGAAGGCTTTCAGGACACCTAGAAAAAGCAAAATAAATCATTCAGCTTTTAGCAAGCCAGAAAATGAAGTATCTTTATTTCATTAGAATTTTCCTTGCTAAAGTTGTAGAAGTCACATCTGTCTTATTCTGCTTCCAGGTGTCTGCTTTTAAAAAGTAAGCTTCTTAGCTGGGCGTGGTGGCATACACCTTTAGTCCCAGCACTTGGGAGGCAGAGGCAGGTAGATCTTTGTGAGTTCAAGTGAGCCTGGTCTACATAAGTGAGTTCCAGGACAGCTGGGGCTACAGGGAGACCATGTCACCATATCTCAAAAAAAAAAAAAAAAAAAAAGAAAAAAGCAAGCTTTTTTTGCACCAGATGGAGACTATTACCAAGTACTACAACTGGTCACACACAGACATTGTCTATGAATTGCCCAGGCCTAAGTGACACATCTACAATGCAACCTCTACATCTAAGGCTCACGGAACCTAGAACAGGGGTAAAGAAGAGGACACTAATGAATCTCTCAGTTCTCAGTAATGAAGCTCCTTAATGCAACAGAGGGCCAAGAACACAAAATGTCATAAATGACCAAAGTATAGAGATTAAGGGTCTGCAAAATGCTCGTTCTTGGACAGGACTCCTATATTAAATTTCACTCACAGAGGGCTCAGGGAGCATTGGGAAAGAGGAGGCAGAAAAATTGTAAGAGCCAGGGAGGAGGTGTATGATCATATGGAAAAAGAGTTCTATAAGCTCCTTGGACCATGACAATGGTGTCAGCATACACAAGTCCCATGCAAACTCAGGCAGACAATAACCCAGCATGGAACTTGGGAAATAGATAGCAGACTACAATCCTAGCTGAAGAAATATTGGCAACTGATTATTGTTGGGTGAGGAAGAGCTGATCTTCCTAAAGTGTGGGATTCTAGATGGACTGACTAGGCCTCAGTAGATGAACTTGCACTGAGGAATGTCTGGGGACACTAACTTGATACAATAGGCCTTAACACAGATGACCAACTGTATGAATTCCAGTGGGGGAGCTATGGGCAGATGCCAGTGGGGACATGGGTAAAAAGATGATTAAGATTGATTGTGATGTTCTGTATGAAAAATTCAATAAAAACAAATTAAAAAATAAAAATAAGAAAAAAATTTAAAAAGTACCATCCAGCTGAATGAATCCTTCCAAACTGTACCTGAACAATACTCTTATGCAAATGTGTAGGTTTCATGATAACACTAATGCTCTCTAGAAGAAAATGTAGAAAGTATATTCTTCACTTTAAAAAATCTCTCCAATACTAAATATGTATTTTCTTACATTCAATATAAGGAATTTTATGGGATTCAAATGACCAAAGACTCACTTCTATATCTTTGTCTAACTAAATAAGCTATATTGGTATATTGTTATTCTGAATTTACTTTTTAAAAAATATTTCATTTATTATTTTTATTTTATGTGTATGAGTGTATTGCCTGCATGTATAGAAGTGCATCTGTGTCACGCAGTGCTCACAGAAGTCCGAAGAGGGCATTGGATCCCCTGGAACTGGAGCTATGAATGTTTGTCAGCCACCATGTGGGTGCTGGGACTAGAACCCACATCCTCTACAGCAGCAGCCAATCCTAACCACTGAGCCATCTCTCCAGCCCCTGAATTTACTTTTTAATAAAATGTTTATAGCATAAAATAAAATTAGAATGGAGTGTATTCTTTGAATAAAGCATATTCAAAAGTGAATACTGTATTGTGGATAAATATTTCAAAGTAACAGAAAAATCTAAAGCATGGAAACTGCTATGACAAATAACATTCTATTTTAATAATTTTATTATTATTTATTATTATGTGTGTAGGACATATGTGTGTGAGGACACATGTTAATTCTCAGAAGCTGTTTTTGTTTCTTCCTCCATGAGTTCTGTGGATTGAACATACAGGCCTTCAGGATTTCTGGACCAATAATTTGTTTTTTCTCCTGGTTTCATTTGGTGCATTTATTTTTATTTTCTTCCATTTTTGTCCCTAGTTTTAAATTATGATATTTTAAAATATTTCAATATTTTTATAAGCTACTGCACACTTTTTAGACAAAAAGTGACTACAAATAAAATAAAAATAGTAAATCAATAATGAATTGGAAAATCAGTAACAAAGACGATTAAAATTGTACCATAAGGGTAAAGCCATACTTTTGTAAGGCAAGGTTAATATTTTATTAAATAAATTAATCTTTTGATTAACTGAACTTTGAGTAAAATAATTAACTATTTATTTCCCCTAATTTCCTTATAGCATATTGTTGACACTTGATTTTTGGCCTCTCCTATAATTATTTGCTATGTTGCATTTCTCATACATTAGTATAATACTCTTTTCTATTGTAAAAATACACTATTATGCATTATTTTATTTTAAAATTATTCATATTTATTTGGAAATGGATTTTAAAACATTTAAGATTCAATATTTCAGAAACTAATAATCTCCCTGCTTTATTGAGGGCAAACTATATTTCCTAATTGCTATGACTCTTCAAAGTCATGGGTTGAAAAGATGTGCTTTTACAATTTACATTCTTAACTGTCCAGAAATAAAACTTAACTTGTGCTTTAACCAGAAAACATCATATGTCAAAATATCACCTATAACCCAATTACCTCTTTGGGGACTATGGAGCTACTGGTTAGTTATTATTATTGAGAGCAATTCTTACCAATGAGGCAATTTTTCATGTTAACAGTGAGAGGCCGTTACTCAACTGTATGTTTTTCAAATATAAACCCTAAATAAATCAATGGAATTTACAATGCTATCATTGACCCTCCACATATTATTCTTTTAGTTTGGAAATAGCCACAGCAAGATACTTGACTAACTGTGGAGAGCAAAATTACTAACAACAAAGTCATTAAGTGAACAAACAAAGATAAATTATACAGCCGGATTACATCCAATAAAATGAACTCAGAGTTCCTTTGGTCAGGCAATTGGTTCAGTCAACATGTTTCTTCTCTCTCTTTACTGTTTGTACTTAGCGTTTGTGGTTTAAATCAAGGAATTGATTCCCTTCCCTTCTCCCAATCTTATTCAAGGTCAAATTAAACACATGTGATAGGAGTTGAAGTTTGTTACATAGGAGGATAGATAAGATCAATAACATTGATTTAGCCATTGCACACTAATCTATTAAGAAGAGTTTAAAACAAGGTTTCTATTTGCATTTTGGTTTCAAACAACTGGTACTGGAAAACATTCACTGAATTTAACCTAACATTTAGGGAGAAGGGCAATGATACTGTCTTTTGAACTCAGTACTTGTAGAATTTTAGGGGCAAAGAAATTAATGTGATTTAACAAATCTATAGGCCTCTCCAGATCACTGAAAAACAACTGCAGAATCATAGTAACTTTCTGATGGATTACTGTGGTGGCCTGAGGTTGAGCTTCAGGACATCCTTCCTAGTGATTGATTTTATGACATGACTCTAGCAGGCTTTTCCACACAGAGAGACTTCTATGTGTGCATCCCATACCCAGGAAAAATAGTTTGTAGTAGGTGTAAGTTGCAACTCTTGAATTGTCAAACAGAGGAAGCCTTTTGTGAATGTACAGTATCTCTCACCCTGCCCACTCCAGTGAGGACTTCTACATCTATGTTCATCGCAGCGAGAACCAAGCTCCTTCAGGACACAGGACTGTCACTCCTGCTGCTGCTCCCACATTGAATTTTAATATACTGAAAATTTCCTGAGTCAGATTCATGATGACGTCAGTGTAATTATATTAACTCTTTGGTTTGGGGTCACCATATGGAAAATACAGAATTGTCTCTCAGTCTATTCAAATCTCTTTGGAACATATTTTCAAATATATTATTGAATTTCAAATTATATAAAAAACTGCAGTATAAAGCTAAGTATATCTAATATGTGGAACACTAACCAGGTAAAAATGCATGATGTGATTCTTATTTATGCTTCTGGAGTTTTCCATACATTAGACAAATTATTTTCATCTTCTTGGAAGACTTCACACAACAAAACCTAAAGTCATGAATCTGGAAAAGGGACCGTTGGGGAAGAAGGGCATTTATAGGAGTGAGAGAGGTAAAAGAGGGTGGCAGGGGAGATAGCCAAAATGCTTTATCTACATGCATGAAATGTCAAAAAACTTGGGCTGGAGAGATGGCTTAGTGGTTAAGAACACTGACTGCTCTTGCATAGGACCTGGGTTTGGTTCTCAGTAGCCACATGGTAGCTAGCAACCATCTGTAACTCCAGTTCCAGGGGATTCAATGGCCTCTTCTGACCTCTGTGGGCATTGCATGACACAGGCACACTTACACACATACAGGCAATACACTAAATACATAAAATAAAAAGAAACATCAAAAAACTAACTTAGTTTCAAAAAGCAAAATATAAGTACTTTGAGTTCTTTGGGGAACACAGCAATTCCTAACATTTCGTGAGAGATTAAGTCAGTACATTTTTCCTTCAGTTGACTTTGACTTTCAAAGCCAGGTTAGTTGGCCAGCATGCTTAAGACTCTTGACCAGTTGTCTGATAATTTGGAAAATGTGAGATCACATTTACACCTATACAAAATATATTGGTTTAACTTTTCATGTTCCATATGGCTAAGGTGATATGAATTTCTAAAAAAAGTTAATGCTAAGTTAAAAAAAATAGGATGTCCCCCTTCAAAAGAATAATAGATTTCATTTAATTTTTTCTAAGAAGTGATTATCTACATTATACTATTACTTGATTTTGTTTATAGTTCTTACAAGTTACGTGTAACATGTCACCTCTCTGGTTCTTTGTCCTTCCCCCTAGAGAGTCATTTACCTGTTATTAAAGTAGTCTGAATCATCACGAGAAACTAATAGGTTTTTTAACTTATCATAACCCTCATCCTATCCTAAGGCTCTCTGTTGAAAGTAAATGACTTACTCGTTTTGCCACCGAAAAATATGTTTGGCCCTAGTACCTTTGATATAATATTTTGTACAGGAAATGGAAGGCAAATCATAGACAGCTACTACTCAATTAAATAGATTGTCAGTCTCCACAGCCTAGGGATATATAGAAGGTCATGAGTGACCTCCACAGTTAGGACTCTGCATACTGTCATTATTGATCAGCCAGGCCTAGAGCAAGCATTTCTAGCTTTGCCTCACTAGCTTAATAAAAGCAGGCTGTGCTATCATAAAACAGAAGTGGACACCAGATAGAAAAGTTTCTACAGAATTTATGGATCCCAGGTAGAAGACTGCAGTAGTTACAGCTTTCTCAGCAACTGACATTCAAAACAAACAAATCTTCCTCTTGAGAACAGGTATGACAAGCAGCAAAAGGCTTCATTTCATCAAGCAAGCAAAGCCCAAGTCAATCCTGTGCTTGACTGACCACTGGATTTACTGCTGACATTCGAAAACCCTTACTTTTTGGGTCCCACTTGGCCCACGTTGACTCGCACACAGATGACTTTTCGTGTCTGCATGCCCACAGAGCACGACGCCTCTCCATTCCAAGTTGTAGTTGTGTTGAAGGATGACACGGATGTGTCTTCGATACACTGGCCCCAGGGACCAGTTTGCCAGTGGTACACAGTACAAGGATGCTCATTACAGCTACGTATCTCTTGCAAAGCACTGATGTTAGGACAGCGGATTCCACCTACAAAAATGGACAATAGTATCAAATTAGACAGATTGTAAAGAGGAATTTTACCATTCTCTGTTCCTTGCAACTGACATGGCTAACAACAATGATATTTACCACTTATTGGGGGCACATAACAGACTACCAGCAGACTACTAAGAAGACAAATGATATATTACTCTTGCCTTGCTTGGTAGGACCTAGTTTAAAATATAAAGCATTACATGATACTGGATTTTTGAAGGCATTATAGAGCCTTAAAGAGAAGTCATTGTTCTCCAGAGAAGCCTAGCAGAGGATATAAGGAAGCCCATGTAATTGCTGACCATAAGTAACAGATAGACAAATTCACATTCTGAGTAAAGAAATCTCAGTGTGTTTTCAAATGTCATTCCCTAAATTGAAAGTCTTAATTACAGGGTTTTAAATATTGCCTAATTTAACAAGTTGAGTTTTAGAGTGATTAGAGGCAGGGGTATTACAAATTGATGACAATGTATGATATTCTGGAGTATTATTAGGAAAGACATGAGTAATAATAATAGGTGTTCAAATATATGATGTCACTCATTGGCTGTGCAATGCACCATCATTTTATATATTCCAAAGAAGAAGAAATGATTGACACTTAACATATTATACAATGCTGTCTTCTCAACTCTAATTTTTCTTGTATCCTTATTTATTAAAATTAAGCTTTCTATGAACTAATTACACAGATTTTTATCACTTTTCCCCATACATTACAAAGAAACATATTTTTAAACCATTTATATGTTTAGAGTTCAAGTTTTTTCAGTCTTTTAATTATCTTCATGAAGTTTGATTTTACATAGCGTCACAGTCTCTGAAACAAAAGGTGTTGGGGAAACAGAATTTCTTTTTTTAATTAAAAATATTTTATTACATTGATTTGTGTGTGTATGCATGTTTATGGGTGGGGGATATGTGTGTGCCACAGCATGTGTGTGAGAGGAAGTCAGATGACAACTTGTTGGAGTAAGTTCTCTCCTTTCACTATGTGGGTCCCAAAGAATGAGCACAGGTTGGCAGGCTTGAAGCAAATGCCTTTGTCACTAGCCATTTCATAAGCCTGTTACAGGATTGCTTATAAAGTATTGTCTTGGGACTGAAGAAACAGCTCAGTAGTTAAGAGCGTGTAGGGCTCCTGTCGAGGACTCTAGTTCTGTTCCTGGTACTCATATCAGGTGGCTCTTAATGACCTGTACCTCCAGCTCCCGGGGATTCTACATACACACACGTATGCACACATGCACACTCAAACGCACACTTTGAAATACTTACAATAAATAAATAAAACAAATGAATGAATGAATGAATGAATGAATGGAGTCATCCTTTGTCATTACCAGAATTTTCTTTCGGAATACCCACAGCTGTCTCTAGATTTTGATTCAATTACATTCTTTTTTGTCTTTTACAGTGCTGGGGGAAGGAATGCAGGACTTTAATATGCTAGGCAAGTGTGCTGTCACTGAGCTACCCCCTCAGTCTTGTTGCTTTTTTAATTGCCCCAGAAGCTGTATCGAATGTCTTCAGCAACGAGGACTTATTCTCCTTCCTCAAATGATCCTTAGCTGGTTTTGATTGTCTTCTTTTTGGCATAAGCATCACGAATCTGCCCTTTCCAGTAGGAATAACAGTGACGGCTATCAGCAATGACAACCGTGTCATAACTGTTGCTTAGCTGCTGTGCTTGTGAAATGTACGCAAGGCGCAAGGCAGCAATTCCAATGATGTTAAAGGTCAGACAGATGCATCTTTTAGTAAACAGACCACAATGTGGAGAACATTTCAGAATTATTTCTTATGTGCTAGCGCTATTGTATATTCTTGAAGGTAGGGCCTTATTTTGTACTCAGAACTGTCATATTAATAAAAAATAAACCCAAACATTTTAAATGATGGGTGCATAAACCCAAACATTTTAAATGGTTTTACTACTGTAACCACAAGGATTTAGGAAGCCTAGTTTTTAACTAAATAGGAAAGTAGAATGGCATATTGTTAAAGGAATCCACTGCTCATTTTATTGATAATTTGATCCCAGTGGCCACACCAGCGATGATTCTTGGATATTCCTTCTCCTATATTTTCTGACATTCTCTATTCAACAAACTATCCAGTAGGCTGTTTGTTAAAATTTTAGGATCAGTTCTACTTTGTAGAATGAGGTTTCAACATCAGAATAACCTGCACTGAACAGCATTTCATTAATGTTCCTGCTTCACAAAGGTGAGAACATGTGTTACACTTCATATCCTGTTTCTCTGCTCACAGCCCTGTGATGCTGGCAGCACGTGCAAGGGTTTGAATAGCATGGAATCTTGAAACATACTAGTTGGATTGGGAAGAAATGAATGAGCATGCCTATCATTCATTTCCTGAGATACTAGATGTATTCATCTTTAATACATACTAATAACAGATTTTACATATATAATTAACACCTTTTTATGTTTAGTACTAAGACTACTGTTCAAAGCATTAAATTTCTTAACTTACATCACTTCACTGTAAGTATAAGTATGCTATTGTAACTGTGATTTTTTTTTAATGCTGAATTGCTTTTGACATTGGAATTGACTGGTTGGCTTTTGGAAAAAAATGATAATGAAAATTAAAATTAAATAAACTTTTATAAAACATCAGCGTAATGTGTCAAGGAATTGCAAGCAAGATAGCTGTTAAATTTATAGACATAAGGGCTATTTATTTTTTTGCCCTAATCCACATTAAAGCCACATCAGCAGTTTGGAGCTGAAGTAGGCTCCTTGCATAGATAAGCCCCAGTGTGGTCTTAATTATAACAACAATGTTGCAATTTTGAACGTTTGGTTTGTAGTAATTAGTCACTGAGATGTCATAGTGTTGTTTGGGAATAATTTTATGGTAGAAAAGTTGATAAATATAATATTGAATATATCTATTATTTATGAGAAGATCTAATTTAAAACTTCTGGGAATATTTTCACAATTCTGGAGAAATTATAAAATGTGAACCATGATAAAATTAGTATTAAGTAAATTTTAAGATATCATCTTAGATACAAAAATACAAACTGCACATTAATACCAATGCTTAGATTATCTTTTATTTCATCAACAGGAAGAACTTTATTGGACCTCTGAGAAATTCTGTTTATGTAAATAAACTATTATGTTCATGTAAAATATACCAACTATTATTATGTGAAACTTATCTCTTAATATTGAGAAATATTGGGCTAGGGAGATGGTAAGAGCACTTGCTGAAAAAGCATGAGGATCTGAGTTCAAATCCCCAGAACTTACATAAAAAGCTGGGCATGGCTATGCTAGTATGCAAGTCCAGCACTGGGTATGGAGGCAGAGATACGAGGATTACTGGGGCTTGCTGGCTACCAGACTAGCTCTAGGTTTAGTGAGAGGCTATCTCAAGGGAATAAGGTATAGAATGAGAGTAGGCCTAGCATTCTCCTCTGGCCTCCATGTGAATGCACAGGCCCATGCACTTACATATACATGTATATACATGTACCCAAAACATACTACAAATACAAAGAAACTATTGAAATATGTAAAAAGAAACATCTCTTTTCCTGCTCACATCAAGCTTGCTTGTAAAGGTTCTGTTAGGATGCATGTGGTCAAGCTATGATGTTTCTGGTTTCGGCATTGAAGTCATTACAGTTCATATGACAGATTTAGGAAGAGCCCTCTTCAGTACAATCACTGGATACAGATATGATGTGCAGTACTTAAGTGGTATGCTTCAGGGAAACTAGAGGGATTGGACATAGCCCATTACTCTCAAGGATATTGTGGTTTCAGTAAGGAAGGGGAATGGGAGGGACAGAGAGAGTGAGACAAATATATAAATAAGGGAAATTACAAGGAATGTAATAATTATGATAAGAGGTACTTATCATAATAACTATTGAAAGAAGTAAGATTCCATTACATTTTGGAGACTTAAAAATGTCTGGATGAAGGAGACATTGAGATGAACTAAGAAGGGGCAGACTTTTTAAGAGCAGAGTTCTGACAAATTAGAGCAAGAGGGGAGAATTTTATTAAGGGAGAAGAACGTGTAAATGCAAGGAATTCATAGAGGTATGAACTTGGCAATTAACAATATTCACATATCACTCAGATTGTAGAGTTTACACGAAGAAATGATGGCTACAAGGATAAGGAAGGGGATAGGGTGGATGTTAGGAAGAGGCGAGTGGCTGCTTCTGACATTACCTGCTGCCGCAGACTACATCCTTTCCACAGCAGACTACTACTGCCTTGGGAGAAGTTAATAATAAAGAGCCTTAGAAAAAGGAGGACAAAGACTTCTCACTGTGCATGGTACATAAATCCTCTGAGGTGGTCAAGCATGGACAGACTGAAGCAGGAGGACAGGGAAGAGCTACCATTTATTTAAACATCAGAACGATGTATGAATCTATATGTATCCTGAATCCTTAGTTCTCTGAATTCTACTAAGAAACAAGCACAGCTGCTTCTTCGCTCTAATAATCAAAAATCACTAAACTGTAAAAAAAATGAACAAACAAAAATAGAAATATTACTCCTTCCAAGTTTTGTACCCTAAAATATGATTTCTTAAGACTTCTAATTATTTGAGAAAATTGGCATTGCTTTATTTCAATCTGCATCTATTCTGTGCATATGGCAGATATAAAGGCACACTGACATTTGGCTGGTGAAGTTACATCAGGTCATCATGAACTTTAAAAAACAGACATTTACTCAGTTTTCACTCTGTAAGGCTAATTGGACATCATTTTTACCTTTCAAGTGAAGTTTGTTGAGAATCTGCACAGGGATTTAGAACTGAAAACTCTGAAAACCTACCATCAATTTTTAAGTCTTTGTTCAAATGCAACATACCACTACTTATACTAAGGACATGCCAAAAAAAAGAAAAATGAACTTATGAAATTTTCAGGTAAATGGATGGAATTAGAAACAATTATCATGAGTGATGTAACCCAGACCTG